CCCTGCTTCGATGACTCGCTCTCTTCATCTTTTAGAGCCCCTCTGTGCACCTCCGACCTACAGGGCGAAAAGTGGGAAGAATAAGGACGCCCACAAACTCGAGGGCTACTGTAAGAGCTTTCATCATAACCTCTTTGTGTCGGGCTTCTGTGAAAGGGTGCTGCACTGGTGGACCTGGTTTCATCTACGTTTCTTTTGATCGAATAATACGAACAAAAATATATTCGATGAAAACTGCATTGAACTCAAGCTTTGACCATTGGCATGTATAACGAATTCTGTTCAATGTGTCGCAAAGAAAGTGCTATAATAATGGGCATCTAAAAACACTTTCACCTAGACAAGAGTAATGTAAGGCCGAGAAAGCTATAGATAAACTATGACTTACACTCCTGTTTCTGGCAATGAAAAAAAAGTCTAATCAGGATGAAGTAAATTCCATTGACAGATTTTTTTAAATTCACAAATTAAGCCGACCGGTCACAATCAACGTGTTATGCCCGAATGCTGCGGGCGAGAGAGCGAAAAGGGAAAAAGGTATTGCCAACCTCTCACCATCCCGCGCCGGATCTCATCTTTCAGACAGAACGTTTGCCGAGGCAGGGTTAAAAGTGGGAAGAGCGGCCCGGCAGTCGAGGGCTACAAGAGCTTTCATCCTAACCTCTTTACGTCGTGTTTCTACAGAACAGTCTGCGGGACTCTCTGAACCATATAAGCTCCATCTCAAACAGTATGCCTCCGTCGAATATCGGAAACGCTTTCTCTTCACGGCACAATAAAAAACAACGGAAAAATACTCTAACCGTGTGAGATCAATGTACACAATGTTAAGTTTGTTAGGCACACTTCGTATAAAATTAATTCTTTCAAGTAAATAATTTTTGAATAGTTTTTTTATAGCTGATGGACGTCATATAAAATAACGTAATGATATTACATTAATTTGTAACAATACTTAATGCGAGTATATAGTATTGAATTAAATATGAAGTAAAAAGATCACTTATGAAAACCTTAAAATACTTATTTAAAGGCCAAAAATCAGTTCTAGCTTGCCTACGGCCCTATGTATTTGTTATCAATACCATGAATAATATAATAATTGCCAATTTCACGACTTACAAAATTCATAAACGTGCGCAACGTAAAAAAAGGATTGGAGGAATTTCAGAGCTCCCTATTCATTGAAACATTTTTACTTATATCTGACATTTTACTATTGTTAAAGGAGAATGAAATTGTAAATTAAATAACACCATTGAAGGGTTTCTTAAAAGAACCAAAGAAGTCCAAATTTCCATATTTTTAAATATTTCACCAAGTTATTTCCTGCAATTGGCACCATCTCCTGGGACATTTCCTTTCGGCAAGTGCCAAACACATTGAAAGATAAGGTGGAAAAAATTTTTAAATTCAATACTCTGCACTTTCATTACGGGGCTCTTTAAATATTTTCAGGGGGCACTGTCTATGACAAGACTATGACAATATTTCTCGGCAGTGTAATGCGTTCTTGGTGTTTTATCATACGGAACACTCGTCTTAAAACAGAAACGACATAGACAGGGGCAGGTTAACGATGAGAACGCTGCTAGGTCGTGAAACGACGTGGGAGGCGAGCCGTGCGTGGACCACTTGAATCTCTTCCCCGCTTCTTAGGTTGGCCGGAAGAGGAAGGGGGCCAGATCAAGTCGGGTACGACGGGAGCAATGCGCCATTTCAAATGACGTTCAACCGACCAAGACGCAATTAATCATCTTCCAAGACAAAATACTTCGTATGAGTTTCACAGTGCATGAAATATGAGCTAAACTACATAACAATAAGATGCATTTGAAAGCAGCACTTTAAGGCAGCATGTCGTTAAATTGTGTCATGATGTATTGACGCATGTTGAAACTAGCACGAGATAGTAGATCATTTACGAAGTCAGAGCACAATGGGGTTGCTTTCTAATGCATCTCCAGACGTCTGGTGTCGTGCATCTTACGCACTACATAACTGCCCTAAACAAATATAATACTCATAATTGGGCTTTGTCATGTTTCAGAAGAGCTTGTAATCTCTTACTTACGGCAATTCTAAATAGTAAACGGGGTACTTATTTTTGAAACATATGAAATCTTCTTGCAGTGATGATTCTTAACCTAAAGAAATTTTGTATTGTGTTCATGAGTTGCAAAATATGACGTTATATGAAACTCTACTTTGCAGTTTTGAGTACAATGGCGCAAAGATGAAACTGTAGAAAGTGGCATAAGAACGTTAAGATAAACCTCTATTTCTTGCTATTATTCTGGTACTGACGCCGACATTCTGATTCTCTGAACTCGAACCCAGTATTATAAATTATTAACTTTATTCAACTCGTCAAAGCAAGTTGCTTGATGAAAATAAAATACGTTTGCTGATCAGTTTCATGACGTTATATTGCTCCTAGTGCAATTTACCTTCTTTATGAGTAAATAAAGGTATGCAATTGTATCATGTAATAGTGACAAAGAAGTGTAGATTTTAAGGGAATGGATATACATGGAACCGAGAAACATGATGTGAGAAACGGAATCACAAAGCAATGGATGCTACTTATTGGTCGAGAATTAAACATTCACTTTGACAGGATGTTCTATTTTTGTTCAAATGAATACAATAATAATTAAAAACAAGGAACAGGAGTACAAGGAAAATTAACTTGATTGCATGTTAAGAAGGAATAATGAATGTCCTGGTAAGACGACACATCTATTAGTGAGAGTAAAGTGAAAATTACGACGGCCTCTGTGGACGTGGAAGATTAACATAGCAGAGTACTTGTAGGAGAAAGGTTAGGAAACTGCACAAAGAGAAAAATTAAAGATGGTTCAACTGAACTCATTTAGTGATAAGCAGAAAAAATGAGAATAATGCATACTATCAGTTAGGTAGCTGTTTGATAGTACCTTCCACAATGGAAGCTTAATGGAAAAATAGCCATAATTTACGAGGAACCAGACTCTCAGAATTCATCACAAAGGTTGTTTCTGGTGATTGCGTATGCACGTATGCACCAATGAGGACGTTGGCCAAACCATCACCCAAGTCAAAACAACTAATTACTTAACGGTTATTCGTGCCACCTTCTTACGCAATCCCAAGACGAAGGCGCGTTGCTCTAGAACGTCAGCGCGTTGCGGAGGAAGCGGGCGGGG